TAAGTTTGAGAGGTGATGTAACAGTAAGTAGTGGATTACAACTAAACCACCACAGTCTTTTTAAATAATATGATAATTCTTTTAAGTTCATACAACCAAAAACTGTTACGCATATTCAACATTTAAAATCACGAATAGATCTATGAGCTACACAATTATCAGCTTGCGAAAAGCAAATATCTTACCTGTTTGCTATGAAAATATTGTATAATACTACCAACCATAGATTTAAAATCCATTTTATATCAGTGTTTAATGAGGTAGGGGTGATCCCCCTACCTCAAAAAAAAAACTACTTTCAGGTAATAATTTGTTTTTAAGAAGAATGTTACAAATTATATGCCTTCAAAAAAGCGTCTACTTTACCAAAAAAGAAATAAATGAAATTTTCTGAGTTGGTAAAAACATTAGGGAAATATTTTTCTTATGTTATGATCGGGTTAAAACTAAGTTTTTCGACATTGAAGCTAGAAGTACTTTCGTATAATTTATAGTGAACATGTATTTTATATAATGTACTAGAACATAATTATGTTTTAGTACCTACTATATGATTTAATAAGGGAATTGATAGGAGTTATTGTAATATTGTAATACTAAAATAAAAAATCTTGATTAAATAGAAACTAAGTTTATTTTTATCTTTTGAGTATACAATTATTTTAATAGTGCTGAAGCTAGTGACCTGATCGTTTTGTTTGTATTCCACGCAATTTTATATTTTTGTATATACATATATACACATTAAGATATATTTTACCAGATAGGATTTCCGTTGATTTGTTGTCTACAAAAAAGTTGTTAAGAAATTCATAGAAATATGGACAGTAAAAAAATATTAATAACTTTGGAATCTATTGGAAAGTTTAAATTAAAACAAAACTGTAGCTAGTAATCATTTTTTCGTATTTAAACTTTATTTACTTGTATACGTAATTAAATCTGAGACATTTTACAACACTGGAAGGCCAACTACTTGGTGTCAAAAATATATTGGTTTACAATTTTAGAGACGGAAAATACTTATAATAAATAACTTGAAAATCACACAACAAAAATTAAATAAAAGTACCTATTGTAAAATTAAAGCAATATCAACATTTGAAAATTATCAAACTGCAAATAAAAATCGCAAACAAAAGATTTTAAACGCAAAAATTATGAAAGGTAAAAGGTGAGAGTCTCCCCATAGTGGTATGTAGGTCTTTACTGGGGTGATGGAAGGCAGGTATTTCCGTTTTGGTATCTAAACTGCGCGCCTTTTAGTATCCATATCGGTATATCCCTCCAAACCCCTCACCCCAATGCGGACAGTTCCCCCTGGACGTCACAGGGAGAACACCCACGCTAGCACCACAGGGATCCAAACACCCGGCCTCCAAGTAGCTGGATTACAGGACTACGCCACGAGTCCCGGCCGATAATGTGACGCAAAACAGATGTTCATAAGTTGTCAGTTGATCGATTTGTTACTAGAAGGCGCTAGATGTAAACCATTGGAACTCGTTCGTTACTCTGTTCAAATGTCCATTATGAGAGAAAAGAAATTGTTTTACGAAAACAAATTGCGGTCAGTTGGAATGGTTTAAATATTTTTAGTGTAATTGTTTAAAATCCCAATTACGTGATTTAAATAATTGGTTATCTTAGAAATTACTTTAAACATTCTAAGAGGAACTAAATTGTATTCCATTTCAGTTACCTATAACTATGGTAGAAAACTTGTTGGTGCTTCAATATAAAACTATGAATCAAAGCCAAAGATAAACAAATAAATGAATGATAATTTGTCAGCGCAATTGTGTTGAGTAACTAAGTTCTGTCAAGTACCTTATATAATCTAGAGTTACTTAAAGCTAATATTTTATTACAGTAATTATTGCAGACATTACCTATCAAGCATCGGTGAATCAACTAAATTCACGTACCTGAACCTGAACCTGACCTCAAATAAATGAAATTGCCTCAATCAAAAACATTTGTTTATTTTTGCGACTTTGCACATCCCTTCTACATGTTGCTTGTTTTCATTTCTGGTCGTTGTCAGAATTTGCTTGACGGACACGTGACCTTAGTCTCGGTTAATCCATTATCTTGACCTGAAATGACCAATGATTAATGGGTTCACCTATAGGTTCGCCTATAGTTTAATGCCTTATTTAAACATTTTTTTCTTATTTTGAAAACTTAACAAATCTCTTCATTATTTTTATTTTGTTATTTTCCTGCTTTGGCTGGGATCGTGTCTTGCTACTTTGAGGTGCTTTCTCATCTGAGGAATTAAATGGTTTTTTTTTTTACATTAATATATGTTTTAGTATCTCCTGAACTTGTAATATTGACTAACTGGTTTTACACTACCTGTTATCAGTTCCAAATTGTACCATTGATAGAGTTAAATGTTACGGTGAGCTGTCATTTTAAAACCGCTTGAATAGCTACGCTAATGGCTTAAACACACGACATATAAATAAATCATTTTCGTTAGATAGGCTACACACAGGTACATTGGTGGTACGCCTGGTTTTTGGCAAACCGTTTTCAACTTCTTTTAATCTATGCTAATACTTTGTCCCTGTGTACATAGAGACAGACACTAAGGCAAACACTAAAGCACTAAGGCAACACGTCTTAGCTTTGACATTCTTACTTTGTCAAAGCGTAGATGAAAATAAAAATTGTTATGTGGTCATTTTAAATGCTTACAAACGTAATTTATGTGGTTATTTTGTCACTTATAGATTTTATGTTCATTTACCAACAACTGTATTTTTATATAACCGATAGTTTTTATTCCTCACATACCTTTGGCTTAAACGATGTTAAATAAACCTGTTTTAAAACTAAAAAAATAAAGTGAATACCAAATAATAATAAAATTAAACTTGTGTCAGTGGTCTTAATATGATTTTCCTGGTGCCTTCAGTACATGAAATGCATGCATCGTCCATCCAAGTACTGTAAACGTATTAACTAAGCTTTGAAGGCGAAGCACAATAATATTAAATACAAAGTAAATACCAAGCCAAGGCTATTCAAATATAAACAGCTAACAAATTCCACTACTTATTTCTATAGACAAAAAGATTAAATTTTATAACACATAACTTACGATGCTAGTGGATTTTTTCGTCATACTAGTAATTAATTATTATTAGATTCCGGAAATCAAGAATAATTTGCATCAATAATGGTTATGATCACAAAGTGTTTTTTCTTGTTAGGTTTATGTATCGTATAATAAATCCATTGTTTACTAATATTTTAGCTTTTAATTTTTTTATTAAGTAATGTTTTATAATTTGGGAGAGTCTATAATACAACCAAAAATAAAACAATAGTGCGTAAGTGGTAACGTTAAAAACTTCTGATGGGACACCCCATGCCTATGGCAAGATATGAAGCCCGACTTCCCAATTAACAGCGTTGACAGTATAAAAATGTCAGGTTTGAAATGTTGTTGAAATATTTCGCAAGTAAGCCTTAAACAGGCAAATTATTTTGTGAAGGCATTTTTACATTTTATGACATGTTTTTTTTTATCTAATTAACAGTTCGTCAGTCTTATGCGAGGTTGTTTAATTTTTAGTTCGTACCCAAAATTTTTATGAGGCATGAGTTTTCAGTTCCTTGAGGCTTTTTTAGTTTCTTTTTATGATTATTAAGTATTAAGTAGAAAATGCTATGTATTCGAACGCAAATAACGATATTCAGTGTGTGGATTCCACACTCAGTGTTAATAAACTAATGGAATTTTATAAAATGTGAATGTAACGTAAAACATTTCAGATAAAAGTACTTTGCTAATGATAATATTGATTAATTTTCCCCCAAGCATTACCAGCTAGCAGTTTCAGCTAAAAATGAAATCATTAAATTTATTAAAAGTTATGGTTTTAACTTAAATTACTGATTATTAGTTTTGTGCCTTCATAGTTTAGGTTTTTAACGAGATTTAGGATTACTATACAAGATTGCCAGAAAAGGTTCACTTTAACAAGCTTTTATCTTTCTATCCCCAAGCTTATTTCCGTGTGAATAAACGAATTTTATGTGGATTTGAAAGCTCCTTACCTCTCCGACCGCAACACTGCGTACCCAACTGTACGTTACAAACATTCTTGGTTACAAGGCGCTCTTGACAAAACCATGAATTAAAATTAATTGTTTGCTAAACTCTTTCCTGTAATACTTAAAAAGTAAAATTATATGGCAAGCTAGACAATTGTACAGTAATATTTTGTCTACATATACACTGTGTATATGGATTTCCACATTTAATAACTACTTAAAAGGGTGATAAAGAATTCAATTGAGCTAAGGAAGTGTACTGAAGTTGAATAATCTCTTTCACACAAACCAACTTGTTAACTTCACAAAATATGCAATCTTTTGATAGGTATACATTTTGTAATGGCCCAATCCAGTATCAGTAAGAAGAAAAGGTTTTGGTCCACATAGATGGATTGTCAAATTCAATAAATTTAAGTGAATGGCAGTAGGTAGATTTTTAACTTAATACTACTGTGCTGTATTCTGTTGTTTTTTATATTTTTTGTAAGAATTATTATTTATAAAGTTATTTTTGATTTAGTATTGTTTTGTGTTTATCAAATTCCGAATTCAACTTGTTTGTCGTGATAAAATTGGTTTGCAAGTAAGACATTAGAATGTACACACATTTTGTTTCGCCGATATGTTCTAAACAACATTTATTTTACGTTTAAACTTTTTTAATCAATATGAATAAGTATTCATTTTACCATTATACTATTAGAATATTGCTTAATATTATATAGTGAGTATCTGCCAATTATTTTTTACTTAAAATTTTAATTATTTTTAAACAGTTTTATAATTAATGACAAATTCTTTTACAGCTTAATTTTGGTACTTAACCAATTGCAAAAAACACAACCAATCTTCAAGCCGGGTTTGTAATGCTACGTAATGATAGCTTGATATTAAGGTAGGATTAAAAGATGTTGAAAAAAGATGGATTTAATGATAAATATAGGTACAAAAGTATAAATTAAATGTTTGAACTGTGAGATCATGAAGAGAGGTTCCGGTAAAGTTCTGGATGATATTGTCCGTCGTCTTCGTAACCTGCAGCACCGGCGGGCTGGGAGGCTCTGTAACAACATGAACAAGTTTAATTTTTATAAAACGAAAATACCATCGTTGCAGCAAACCTGCTATCAAAGTCAATTTCTGGTGGCTATATTAGTATGTATATAACATCATATATATATTCAAATCATAACATGCTATAAAATATATGTACTGAACGATTAGACCGACCCTCAACATAGTTAACATTGTGCCTAAAGAAATTTGGGTTTTTGTTCTAGAATACTTTTTTATTACTGCAAATATTGTGTTCATTTCTTTATTAAGAAGAAGTTACTCGTAGAACCTCGTCTACTAGCAAAGCTCGTCCATCAATACTATTTACATTGTTCTGAACCCTCACAACCTTGACTTTCATCTATTCGTTTTGTTTCTTGACCTTTGTGACCTGCTGTAATTAAAGTGAGAGGAATCCTGAGAAAAGAATATCATCGTGTCGAGCTGAGATCCATGTTCTAGAATAAATGTTTTGTTAACAAAGGATGGTTGAGTGATGGCCCTGACAGTTGGCCGAGAGATGCAATTAAACTCACGATTTATATTGTGCACAAAACACTAAAGTAACTAGTTCATCTGATTGTAACCTTTGAAGTGCTTTCTACAAGGTATTGTGACTGTTCCACTCTCGTTTTGCTTGTCACAAATTTTAAACAGCTATTTAACCCGTATGTTAAATTTGACTATTTTATTGTGAGTTAACGGGTAGGCCTATAATTTACTAGTATGGTCGGTGCAATACAATCAGACATATTAAATTCGATCTGAACGTGAAAATGTGAGAAATTCTTGAATTATTGAAAAGTTTAATTAAACCAATTATTATTTTTGGGTAATGAAATGCTGTAAAACTCACGGTGATTGTGACCAATTGTTGTAATAATTGTGCACGTCAAATAATGTAAGTTAATTTTGTTGAGTAAGATAAATATTTAGTTTAATTTTACTCTGGAAACGTTAAACTACACAAAAAGTTGAATGGCTTTTCGTGGAGGTGGATCTTCAAAACAAATCCCCCCCGTAAGACACATACATCTATTTTACTGCATAGTTAAGAACACCTTTATAGCCATCATATAATTACCTAACTCTCGCGATGAACTCCAGACTGCGCGCGATCTCCTCAGGTACCGGAGGAGGTGTGGGCAGGTGCGCCCCCTCGGCTCGGAATCCATTCTCGTCCGCCGTGTAGTGCACTGTGATCAGCTGACCGTCTGGAGCAGTGTAGGAGTACGACCCTTGGACACTCGGACCCTCAGAGTCCGTACCCTGGTTGGTCATAACACCCCTCTCCTGGCGGGCGATGCCGTCAGCTGTCTCGAAACTGGAACGAAAATCGTTTAGAGTTGACATGCTTATCTATTATACACATATTTTACACTGATTCTATGCAAATAATAAACTCCATCCCTTAATCATTAATTGAATGGAAACTGAAACAAATAGGTGCTACAGGACTTCATATTCAATTTGTTATTTGAAGGTTTATTTTCAGTAGTCAACCAATTAAGTATGTTGAATCTGGTAAAAACACATTTTGGTGCTTGAGGGGTTGTTGATGTTTGAAAGGATCAAGGATCAATGTTTAGATTTAAATTTATTCGATCGGTTGATACACTTAAGATGTCAATACATAGTATTTTTTGTTTAAACGGAATACGAGTAGTGGATAATAGTTATATGGATGAGATCAAAGCTTTGTCACCGACTAAGATCTGGCAAATCTTGAGCAAAGCCAAATTTTAAAAGTCCAAATATCAAGGTAAATCGTAAATTCAAATAGTAATAATATATTATTAAATGTGGTCAAATGTGAACGAGCCTTACAGTGACCTTGCAGTTAAAAGCTAGTTTTTTTATTGGCACGTGAATTTGTTCACGTCGTTTTTTGTGTTGAACATTTGAAAATAATTTTATGTCTACAAAATTCCGAAACCTGGAATTGTCCTACAAGGACGAATTAGAGCTGTAACGAGTTTTTAGTCTTAATATTAAGACAATGTATAGGTCTTATAACTCAAATATAATAAAAAAATTTACCACGTTGAAACTACACTTTAATGAGTTGGGATTTTTAAAGCTGAACCTCTAAACTAATTTTCTATGCAACCTATTCTTTTATAAAACACAATGTATCCTAGAATCCTAGAATCAAATATTTCATAAACCCTAGCACTTATCCTACATTTCCCACGGTAACCACCAATCTCTGTGACCTTTGACGACCACAGCTGACGAAGTTCCAAGAACATCTACAGGGCGTGACATAAGTGGGCATCATGAGGCAACTGGCGTTTCCGTTCGCTTTCTGCTACAATCACTCATCCTTCCAAAGGCCTTACCTCCTCCAGGTTGGGCAATACAACCATCCCGATTGATTGAAGTTGTATTGTAAATTGTTAGTATAATAGTCATTGGTGGAACTACGGTGGCCCCTGGTATAATGAACTCCAAAATATTGCAATTTTTTTCTCACACAAACGTTTAATTTGATTTCTTATTGGTCTGATTGGTGAAATTACATTATATTGAAAATATTTTGCTTAACAATCCGTAACTAAAACATACCAAGGGAATCGATGGAACTCATTACTCGTACGTAATTTAAAAGTTGTAATATTTTTTGCCCTTGAGTTAGGTTTTGTATTTATTGTTTTATCCAACGCGCGATTAAATCCATCCATGTTACACATACAGAATAAGAGACCTTTTAAGGATATTCTAGTTTACTGCTATAATATTACGAAGCACAGATTAGAAGAATAGGAGGAATGTGAAGGTCATTAAAATTTCGAATAAATTAATGAGTAAATTAAGTTCATAAGCCGGCTATGTTTTATTCTCTAATGACATATACGGAACCTGTGACGTTACTATTTAAGAACATAATACTATTGACTATTGGATACAGAAGTTGTTATATTAATAGTCAAAGATAATACTTACGTATAAAGCTAGCATCAAGCAACATAAAAAAAATTGAAGCTAGTGCGTACTTCTTTATATTAATAATTTTATAAGTTTTCTGTATTACCCAGTAGTTTAAACATCATTAACTTTTTGAAGCTCACACAACCAACAGAGTAATTAAATGAGGTTTTATTGGATGATAGGACCCCTGAATTAAGTAAAATTAGTAAGTAAAGAAACCATAAAAAAGCCTATATGTATTCATAATTTGTATGTAAGATAATTACTTGTAGTTGTAAGATCCGTCGTAAGCAACGTCATTAGAGTATGTCAGTATAGGCACCACGTCCTTAGGCACGTTGGTCCTGTAGTCGACAGGCTGGGAAGGCACTCTGGAGTACGGGAAGTACTCGGGCTGCGCCCCCGTGGGTCGTGATGGTGGCGGGTAGCTGACGGGACCGGTGGTTTGGAGTCGGTAACCTGTGTCGTAGGTACGGACAATATCTGCAGCTTCATTGGCTCTTATAGGAGGCACCTGGTAGTAAAAGATGATAGGCGAAGAAATAACAATAATGTTTAAATCCAAGTTTCTTTCGATAAAACAAAATAATTTGTATTGTTTCACTTCTGTTTCTCTATTTCTATAATTTGTCTCCAAGGCCGATAAATTAAGTCAAGATTAGCTTAAATGGGAATAGTAGAAGTGTATGCCTTATAGGGAATATTTTAATTGTAAGGGTGGTGAATTCAACATCTCAATACATAATATTTATGATATTTTCTAGGACCAACTAAAAAACAATGGCGTATAAATTAAGGAATTGGCGTAGAGGCACATCGCAAGTTGGATCGCTGATTGGCTTTTTTAGTTTTCCTACATTGCAGTTCACAACACCGTAACCAATAATGGTGTAAAAGTTCATTACTAGTCCATATCCATATATAATTTTTGTGTTTCATATGCACTATCTCAGATTATAATATAGCAAAACACTAATGTAATATAATTTCTCAACCTACTAGAGTAACATGGTTAATACTAAGGTGAATAAGTAAACTCAAATATCACTTGCCTGAGTAGGGTAGTTTTGGGGATCGACAGGGACACGGTATCCCGTACTCTGGAGCCGGTAGCCAGTCTGGTAGCTCCTAGCCTCGTGAACGTCCAGGTCTTCGCCCCCCTGGACTGCTTGTGACCCGTGGACATCGTCTCCCAGGGGAGGCAGCTGAGTAGGCGCTATGGAACCCAGCAGAGGTCGATGATGGTACTGGGGTCTTGGCTTGGCTTGCACGGTGTACAGTGCCAACAGCAGTGTTATTATCTGTAAACAATATACTTATAGTCTACAGGGATAAAATATTGCAGAGTGAGGATCATTTGAATAAACCTTACTGTACATTTTGGATTGCAATATTAATCTTAGGAAGTGTTTGACCAAAATTACCATTACCATGAAATAGGTTTGGATAAAGCTCTCGTCCATAGAACAAATTTGCACGTACAACCAGGGGTCAAATACGTGCGCTTGTAAAAGTTATCTTGCTAGTTGCCCTAACTTGAATTTATGTGTATTTTGAATAAAAAATTGAGGGCTAAAAAAAGTTACGACACGAATAACGATAATGGTATTTTAATGTAAAACATAATACTTAGGATATGTTAAATATTGAACTATCTCCTTTATCATTTGGCAATAGTCTGTCCTCTCGTAATCAACCAAATTATTAGGCTATGGCTGGAACTAGATCGCTAAAGTTAAGTTTTACCATTGACTAACCAACGCAGCATAGTAACCGAGTAGACTTCTTATCCCATTGTAAATTTTGAAGCCCGTTTTTCGTGTATAGTTCATGTTGGTTACACTGATCGCTAGTGTCGACGAAATCTTCTCTCCATTATTTTAGGGGTAATATCATGATGCTTGGGGAGGAGCTATTGTTTATGATAAGATCATTTTATTTGGGAAAACGAGGTTTTTAATTAGGGACTGAAACAATAAGAAACAAATTGTAAACAAAACACGACCCTTACAGTGTACCGGATGGAAATAAGAATAAAATTGTCTTCGGCTGACCCATACGGATGAGATATATACTAAGGGAGTATGTTTTATATATATATGCTTTTACTTGCAAATTGTCATTAAGAGTTTTTAAATAAAATCATGGATATTTTTGAAATAATTTATAAAAGTTAAGCATTAATGGAAGCCCATGAGAGAGAAAGCCATCCAACCCAGAAATCGAAAGTGGTCCACGACCCGTTTGTATCGAGGAAAGTGAGTCACAGAAAGTAGATCTAGACTGAACTAAACTTGGCCTTACTCTCACTTTCGCTAGGTCGGCGTTCTACTTCCCGCGTTTCTGGCGTCGTTCCGCATCTTGGAGGGAAAGTAAAATTACATCAGACCCAGACCGGAAACTGGGACTGAAGTTCAAGGGCACTAGGACTGAAGAGATTCATGTGATCTAGGGATGAGTCCAGAGCGATTATATTGGCGAGAACCAAACATTTAACACTTTTAGCTATGTAATATACTCAACATTTGGTGGTCCAGTGCCCAAAATAAACTTATGGTAGGCCTAAATCTATATCAATGAAAAACAATTGTTATACTCTATAGGATTTCTTTACTTCATCTCAAGAATTTAATTCCCTATCTTTGCACAGAGAAGAACAATGAATATCTTCATCCACTTTGTAGTTTTTAGAGACATAATTAAGTATTCTTAACCCAAATTTCAACCAAAACTTAATGTCCAATATTATTTACATACGATTAATGCAAAAATATAATGTATTTTGTTTAGTACTAAAGATGTAGTTTTTGTTTACTTTAAAGATTTTAATGGACAAGTTATCGTGTAGGCGTTAAAAATTCAAATTAAATCAATCCTAATTCATCCGATAAAAAAAAAACTTTTCTTTTCCTGAGAGATGTATAAATTTCTTTAATAAGTGGCTTTGCAGATACTGTAATAGTGTTCTACTACAAACAAGGGCATAGAATTATCGCATACAATTATTAGTGATTGTTTGAATTTGATACTCGTCTCCTTTTTTTTGTTCTCAAAGAATAACCTATTCCATTATAAAAATTCAAAATCATATCAATTCCTGACAATATTGTAACATATATATATAGCCTATCTATTCAGTTGAATACCCATTGTCATTAAATCTTTCTCCAAAAGACTGCGATTGTAAATATTCCAAATCTTACCACATAGCTCAGTTCAGCATTATACTTCGTAATGAAGACGTCACATAGAATAACCAATGTCATTCAATCTAGTAATTCCCTTTCAATCAATCATTGACTAACGAACACACTGACAATCCATTGAGCGATGGACGAAACCCGGGCCTTGACCTCAGCAACAATGCTTTGAATCTTAGACATCATCCGCAGTATGCTGAATACGCTTTGTACCAGCTGATGACACAATGCATTGTTAGAAACAATGGATCAGCAAACAATACGTCAAACAACCACCGCCTTGTTGATCCTTGTCTTTGCATATTTATTGGAACTCGATTTGTAATGGGAGCTGAATGATGAATGCGATTTTGGTTGTTTGAAAAAAAAACTCTATACGTTTGGTAAACTATGTTTTGGTAATCTTTGGTTGAATATTTTTACCTTTTTATGTACATTTTACATGAGGGAATTATGTTGTTTGCATACGTAGGATATTCGTGAAGCTTAGGTTGGTTTACAAGAGCATGTGCTACAATAGGCTTCTACATACAATTTACGTTTTTCGAGAACACTTTAATTAACTATCCGTAGTTTGATGTACCGAAGATTTTAACAGACTTGAATTCTATTCTTTAGTCCCGGCTGGTGGTTTAAGAATACTTGCAAATTGTTCAATTATTTCTATCATGTACTATATAAATAAATAAAAGATACAGTACCTCTTGAACCAAACAAATGTACTATTTAAAACTGTGTTATCAAATTACTCAAAAAATTTAAAGTAATTTACACATCATTATACTACATTCTTTTGTACTTAGAATTAAGCTCTTTATTGAAACTATGTGTAGTGTGGTAAAAAAATCAAATATGAACTTAAATACTAATCTACGTCTCAAATAAGATGTGGTAATTAGTTAGCAATTTTAAAAGGATATTTATTGTATCATCGTGAATTCTCGTAGGGGTCAACTGAGGTGGACGACCCTTTGGGTTGATTGATGCCAAATCTCGACAGTCTGGCGGGAATTCACCATCTCACGTAGGTCTTTACACATCACGTACGTACAAGGCGTACAGACCAGAATACTAAGTAGGTTTGCATTGCTACAGAAATATATAGTGTTTCGAGGCTTATTTTTCATACCAAACTGCTTGAGAAGATTAACTAACTCGTAAATTTGTAAGAGTTCAAAGTTCTTTTCAAACGTCAAGTTTATTCTAGAGGAGTATTTTTTTTCTGAGATTTTGAACGGGTAAAAAAGCGAAAACGAAAAGATTTCCACTCAATCGATAACCGTAAAAACGCATTTGTATCACTTAGTTTGTAACAATAATGTTAGTAATTAATCGTATATTTTATAACAGCAGCACAAATATATTACCGGCAAACGATGATTGACTTTAACTGTAAAATCAAATAATTGTATTACTTTGTTGTAAAATCATTATATTGTCTTTGCTATTGCTTATCATCCACTCTGTATTTCACAGCTTTGGAAAAAAATAAGGTGTAAAAAAATAATATAAAGGGTATTCTTAGAAGGATACGACCTATATCAAACGCATAAGAATCATGTTAACTACCATGGTAAAGAATTATGAAAGAAGAATGAAATAATTTCAGTAAAGTAAACTTTTGTATTAGTTAAGCTCACGTATTTTAAGTCGGCGCGGCTCTAACTGCAAAAATATGCATAAAATAAAAGATATTGAGAGTGTATTTTGAAAATCAATAAATTTTCGCTGGATAACATAAATATATAAAAAACATACTAAACTGTTTTGTTTATATATATCAAAGGAAGTATTTTCTTGTATTTATGTTTACTTCAGAATGATTGCATAGTGAAAATAACACTCACACAAATGTTCTATATGAAAAGGAAAATTATTTATTTTGATATTATGATAGGGAAAATAAGCTAGTTTAAAATTAAAACGTTACTTTTCCAAGTTAGAAATATGTAAATGCATTATAATCTTTTTAAAGATGTTCGATAATACCACTATAAGATTATAATCACCTTTAGTTATAGATAGTCACCTGCAATGTGGACATCCTCTTTAAATTTTGTATCAAAAATCATCATAGAGCCGCGCCGACTTAAAATACGTGAGCTTAACTAATACAAAAGTTTACTTTGCTGAAATTATTTCATTCTTTTTAGAGCATTTGAAGTCGGTTGTATTTTTTTACCAAAAAAAATATTAAATACTGTACTAAATGGCACATAATTACCAATCAAATTAATTACCATGGTAAACAACAAAATTTGTATGTTTATTATACCACTTTTAAGTGTTATACCTAAGAAAATACGTTATATGTAATGTAATGTTCTTTACTGTTTGATTTAAAACCAATTTACTTAAACAAAATCATATCAGTTTGGACCGCATCCCGAAAAGCTTCTGTGTAACTCCTCTATACCTCCTTGAAAATTGTCATAGGCGTATAAAATAAGAACAAATTTTTACGAGATCAATATGCTATATTTACAAATGCTGGAAAGAGAAATATCGAAACGGAATGAAACCTACGCTAACCCTACAATGACCAATGAATGAGTGGTAGGTCAATGACAGCTATCTTTAGCAAATTGTTCACTTGTTTTTGTTAGTGGATATTGTATGATGGAAAGGAAAATCGAAAAAAAATTGGCTTTACAACAATATGAATTTAAAAACTATATTGTTTATAAACAATAATAAAACATTTTTAAAAGGGGGTTAGAGGTTATTTATTGAACATTTGTCATCCACAACCTTTAGTAAATTTGTAATGACTTGTAATGCAATTTGGATACGCATTAATTTTATTGTAAGATTGTAGTCTCGGCATTTTTCAATTTACTAATATCTATATTTATAACATGTATAACTGTTTTTTGTAAAACTGCCTTTAAATGGTAATATGGGATTTCATACAAAGTGTACTTGTGTATCAAAACTGTCAAAATAATAGAATAAGTTCTACTTTAAAATTGTTATAAAATATCAACAAAATTTAATATAGAATAATAAAATGTTTCAGTATAAACATTAATTGTAGATTATAAATATTATGTACTCTGAGACATTTCCCGTAGGATATGTACGGTATAATGAAGTAACAAATATTTAAATCAACTTTTTCTATTAAAATTAATTTTGTTAATCTTTATTTCGCCCCATATTTTCATAACATGCATACTTTAAAATACTCATACTATGAAATGCTCTGAAATTAAACCACATTGATACAAATATTCATAAAATTGCAATAATTAATTACGTCTTATTAGTATAGATGATTTATTATACCTCAACACAATCTAATAAAAAAACATAACAGCAACAATCCAAAGTCAAAACCAAATAAATATGGAATAACTTACCTGTTTCATGTCTAAAATCCAACCGATGGACAGGGCGGGACTGGTGAAATGGGCGTTGTACCTGTAGCTACTTATAGAGGATCTCCTAAACCGACAGAGGGACGGACACAATGATTGGTTGTGTCCAGTGACGTCATCACGCACACACGCACACTCACGCACCGTTCATCACGTGACCATTGTTGCAGTGATGTATCACATTACAGGTGTCAAGAGGTGACTGGAAGAACCATTCTATTCTGGACGTTATGATTGATCTTGGAAGATGAACCGATCTGCTGCAACCTTGGGGATAATTTTCATTCTTTGTTTTTGTTGTTTATTTAATCGAGATGGGTTTCGACGCTCTTTTTATTATAATGTCCACTCATGAAACCCTAGGAAATGTATTAAGTTGGAAAGAAGTAAATCTGTAAAAATTTTTATAGAAATCACTATTTTGTAATAAGAGTTTGAAGTACTTCATTGCCGCACGAGAACTGTTAATGGCCCCACGGAGCTTTAGTTGAGTGCGGACATACATTTCGAGAATGGCAATGATTTTATTCGTAATACACATAAGAATTTTAACCACCATAATTAACTTCACAGCACACAGATTAAATTTATATCTGTACGTGCAATGTCATTCATATGTTTTTTACAACGTTTTTATTAGCTCGCTTTCTTGTCCGGTACAAATTTTGCAATCAATTGTATAATAAGTTCCCGATTAACTAGACACTTGAAACTTGAAACATGGCTCACAAATGAATGACAATGCAATATTATATAATTTAATTTTCATATTTCCATTGGGCTACACCCCAAGGGCTTGTTTTTATTAACTCACTTTCTTGCAAATTTTGATACTTCCCGATGAGCTAGAGACTTGAAATTTGAAACATAGCTTACAAATGGATGACAATGGAATATTATATCATTTAATTTTCATATTTCCCTTGGGCTACGCCCCATGGGCTTCCAGATTTTCCATGTTTACATTTTTATCGAATGTAAATATATCAATTAATTTAAGTCAGCTGTAAATACCTAAATTTGACAGTTGTTCAAAGAGCAGAGGTTAAGAAGTATGCTCCCAAGAGATTCTTTATACAAACAAACATTTCAAAATAAAAATAAACATTCTGATTGCATATATAAAGGTGTTTTTAAGTAATGTCATTTGTTATGTATTTAGTGTTCTATAAAGTTAACAATAAATTAAATAGATTGATATATTTATAGTTAGTAGGTAGGACCTACATTCAATCTATTACATAATTATATGAAAAGAACCTAAAATAAACCTTAGATTTCCCACATGCCTCTGTCTTAATCTGATATAGATGCTTGAAATAGATTTAACATCCACACACATTAAAAACTAAAATGTAGAAAATAATTTATAAATAAAATCTTTTTTAAAAACAAAACGTTTTTAAACCACTAAAAAGTAGAAAATAATTTATAAATATGTGGAGAATATAAATACTTTTAAGATTTAAAACGAAAAACGTTGGGTGCATGCAATTGATAATAATACATTAGTTCAATAGGTGAAGGTTATTGTAAATTATCTATTGCATGCACCCCACGTTTTTCGTTTTAAATCTTACAAGTATTTATATTCTCCACATATTTTTAAATTATTTTCTACTTTTTAGTGCGTTTAGAAACGTTTTGTTTTAAAAAAGGTTTTTATTTATATTTTTAAGTTATGCTATTCGCTTACCTCGTGATATTGTTTTATAGAAACGCAAACAGTGAAATCAGCTGATAAATGAAGCGAAATGAACGATTTTAGGTACTTGTTATAGATGAGGCAATATCATAATTTCCATCTAGTGGTAGGAAAAAGAAGCTGCATTCAATTTTCTTTTCTGTCCTCTTCATGCTCGGGTTCTTTATCGGTATATCTAGCGTCTCTACATGAAGAGATTCTCGTCATTCTCATTTATTTACCTCATAGAATGATGAATGTCTAATGAGTTCTGAACCACTCTCGTTATTCCGTTTCATTGTTAGTATATTTATGTTTAGATGTTAAGAATTCATTTAGATAAAACAATCAAAGGACGATGAATGCCACTATCAGTCTAAACGGTAATATATTATGTTATTTTAAAATAAAAACTAAGTCATAGTAGTCCACAAACATAAACTATCCTTCCGGGAATAATTTCTGATGAGGATACATTTAACAACCAACATTATGACTTGAAGAATTCATTAAGATTTTACTTAATTGTTTTTAATCATTAATTGAGAATATCCGGAAGAGTTGAGAATATTTAGAAGTAGCCTATATTTTTCTGGGATCTGTCCCAGTGCTTGCATTCATCGTGTAAGAAGGAGATCAACTTGTAGCCGGATATTTCCCACTTTCATTTATGTCTAGTCTCATAGTGAATTCACCTTGGAAATAGTTTAACGGAAGTAATTTAATTGTGGTTATAAACAAGAAGTAGTATATGTATCTTCCTTATATGTATTGAAAAATAAAAGTAAAAATTATAACGCCCATAGGGAACGAGAGCAAATAATTCTTACGTTATTATAACACTGAAAACTGACTAAATCATAAAAAAGTTACTAAATGATAAAGATTTATGGCATTACTAATTTTTTTAAGGTATACAATTTCGTACGTTTCAAAGCAAAGCATGTTCATTCTACAGTTAATTTTATTACTTTAGTTAAACTTACTTTTAACTAACTACTTTACTAACTACTAACTACTTTTAACTTACTTTTACTTTAAGTATACATCAAATCCAAATTAAGCTGCTTATAGAAGGGGTAAACAGCAAGCCACTGGCTACATTACTCTCAAGTTGACTTACTGGATACTTACTAAGGAATAACCCTTTACACAAGGTAAGTGCAGCTGATGAGCAGTTGCAGCAAGCAACCTTGCCTTCCCTTCTTTACCCGTCTACAAGCCCCTTTAAATAAATATCAATATTCATTTGTTTTAGTTAAATAATTAATTATAACCTTTATTGTCCATAGTGAGTTAAGGATGTTTAAGCCAAATAGCTTTAAGCTTATTAATTGTATTACTTTTGTAAAAAAAAAAAAAAAAAAAAAATGCTGTAACACATGATGGTTTTAAATCACCAGATAGCTTTGGGTTCTATCTGCAGGCAATATATATTGATACTTTAATACTTTACTTTAAATGGCAACCATACGAAGTAGGTATTTTAAGTCAAGTACGAATGGAGATAAGTGTAGGATGAGTGTCACGATCTTGTAGTCTTGTTCTAAAACTGATTCTATATAACACACATCTCAATCAGTCTTGTTTTTACTGATTCTATATAATATACATATCAATGCAAAACCGAGCTAATAAAACATCTAGTGGACTGGACATATAAGTCCTTTACATTCATATTAAAAATTACTTATTAAGTCCATAATCGTGGTAAAAGCAATGGATATATCTTGAGAATGCATTTATTTTTTGTAATATTAAAACCAAAATATTTGCTTAAATTTATTTTTGTAGCCCCACGATTGCTTAAAATGACAAAACGGCTTGTCAGTCCTCGTTAGACCATCCTTATCTTGTGGGTAACGTGTGGTAACACTTGCTATAAATTTAGAGATCATTAGAGCTCCACCGTTAGACTAACAAAATTTTTTATACTTTTGTAGGAAAGATTAAAAAATTCACAACAGAACTGAACTTTATTTTTAACTAGCTGTAACCCGCGGGCTTTGCCCCGTTTAACTTCTTAATTTTCAAGATTATCTCGTTCGCATGGCTCAATCACGTCCTGGTTGAAGTTTGTTCGCTACGCTCACTCACCTTTAGGTTGGAGCTCGTTCGCTACGCTAACTCGCCTCCAGGTTGAAGTTCGTTCGCTACGCTCACTCACCTTTTGGTTGCAAATTAGCTGTTGTCATAAATGTAAAAGAAATAATAGTGCTGCACCCTGTTGGTAATCCTTGTAACTTTAATGCCTTTGAACATCATAGAACAGAACCAACTTGTTTAATTGAAACAGCTGTTAAGATTCAATAATTCCATTTCTCATAAGGTTAACATGGGAAACTCCAGAGCCACTGGGGCGGAGCCCGAAAGGATTTTTGAAATAAGAATATGCCTATATGTTAATCGGGAATGTGAGCTATCATCATGCCAAATTTCAGCCCAATCCGACCAGTATTTTTCGAGTTTACTTTTCCCATACACACATACAGCAACCACCTCTTTTTTATAATAGTATAGATAGATAGATGAAGAATGCAATGAAAATGTTGAATAGATTGAGAAAATGTTCCAATCTCCTACATATCTCTAACATGGTATAAACAACTAATATTGTTACTTGACATTTAATGAAATTTTTTTTAAATGAAAATATTACAATATTGAGGAATTGGAAATGCATAAAAACCCCCTTTTTACCATGAGGACACCCGTAGGAAATTATCAATGGTTGCAGTTTAGGTACAATTAATTCATGAGGACTAGTTCAAGATTGAGTGGCGAACGAAATGTATTTGCAAAATGCATGGGAACTTTGATCTGCATATTAACTTAGTGGTCACAAAGCAAAATATTTCGAAATGTATTAAACCTTAACCGTTTTGCTATTTAGGTAGGTTAAACATAAAACCATGGTAACGAGGTGTTTACCAATGTCAACCAATCAGTGTTTTTGAAAATCCATTTTACGTAAGTTTTGGTCCACTCCCTTCTTTCATTTATATCTTAAATAGGGTTAACATAAATTGGTTATCACAACGTTCCAGACTATCAAAGCTATAAATTATCTCTATCCATAACTTTATTAGATCTTTGATCAATTGTTTAACATCTTATTTTAAAAGATTGTTATTGTGTGTAATGAAATAACTACATGAATAGTGTTGGAACTGTCCACAAGTCGTGAGGGTATATCAATTTTTGGAAGTTTGTAGTATTGAAGTAATGCAGGAATCCGAATTTCACTTATATCAACACGATGATTTAATATTACAGACGTAATGTAGCATAGTGACTTTTTGTCTGATAATTAGATTATACATTGTATTATACAACTTTACTCTCTACGGCTACGTCCAAATTCACCAACATTTTTGAGGTCGTTTCTAATGTAAAATTCACCAACTTTCTACCTGGAGCAGGTACGATATTTCTCCCGGCGGGCGGGGAAGGAATTCCGAATAGTTTGTCCTCGCCTGCTCCGTCTCGCCTCGGCGAGAGTGTACTGCTTAGCCCTAATAGTACTGTTTAAGCTGTGATTGTTTCAGGCAGCTTTAGGTTAGGTTAGGTTAGGTTAGGTTAGGTTAAGTTAGGTTAGGTTAGGTTAGGTTAGGTTTGGTTAGGTTAGGTTAGGTTAGAGGTTACAGTACACTCTCGCCGAGACGAGACGGAGCAGGCGATGGCAAACTATTCGGAGGGAATTCCTTCCCCGCCCGCCGGGAGAAATATCGTACCTGCTAAAGGTAGAAAGTTGGTGAATTTGGACATTAGAAACGACCCCAAAAATGTTGGTGAATTTGGACCTGGCCCTCTCTACGTTCGTAGTCAACAAGAATATTATAAGGGGAACCCCTAAATAGAACAAATCGTACAGGACTTGCAGTACATTTATCTGTGATAGGTAAAATGACAATTTATTTACCACAGCTGTCCATAGACTAGGAAAAATAAAAAAAAATACAAACACGTTATAACTTTTTATTTCATGGTAAAAAAAACTTAAAATAACAAACAATACATCACTCGGATCACGACTGGGGTCGATAATTACAAATTTACATTCGAGTCCTACAAAAGCACTTTATACTAGACACAAATTATACTGAGCTTCATAAAACATTTTTACAGCTAACAAAAAATATAATTGGCCCCACTACAGACACATCTTACATAATATTAAGTTTATTTATTCATCCAGTATTTTCTTAATCTCATTCCAAATATTTTAGGCAACATTTTGCTTAACATATTTAGTGCCTATTATTTACAGAGTGCTCTTATAGAAGTCGTTCAATTAGTTACAAAGGTAACTGGTTCATATCGTGATTAATTTGTGAACTTATTTCCCTTGGAAAAACGGCCTAGGTCCAGGGGCTCCACCCCCTTGGAGCGCCAGGGACTTAGCGATAGCCTCAGGTATAGGTGGTGGAGTTGGTAGATGCGCTCCTTCGGCATGGAAACCTGTTTCGTCAGCGTACCAGGTCACCGTGATAGGTGTTCCTAGAAATAAAAAAACAGGTATAAATAACAGTTATGTATTTACTGTATCTTAGTTATGTTAAAGGGTGTTCTTTAAACAGTAACAAGTTGATTTTTAATACTGTTTTCTATGATCCTCTGATCATGATATGATTTTCTTAATGACATATTGCATCATTTGTTGACTTCATCCCTATTATGGAGTTTCGTGTAAAGCAACAGGACTAAACAACATTGTGAATTGTGAGCTGCATTACTCGCATCCTGTAGCATCATGAACATTTTATTTAAAGGAATAAACAAGAGTGACCAGTATAATAAGTGTGCCGGGACCTGGTGAAGGAATATCTTTATGAAACGGAAATAATAAGAAATAGTGATTTTGTATACTTATAATCCATAAACAATATTGCAAATTAGAGACTGTGGAAGTTAAAATGTTTACTAGTATAATTTATTAATTTCGTTTAATTTATTAGTATAAGGGCTATAATACTGATATTTCAAATGACCAACACTTTGAAAAAGAATGAACTTCCTTAATAGCCTCTTGTTGTAAAATGTAAAAATATAAGGTTCTTGCAAAAATGGCAACAATCCATATTTTATGGTGCCTTATTTCTGAATGTTAATCATTAAAATAACTCAGGCAGCATGATAATGCCTCACCAGAAATCTAAGAAAGCAATAATCTCTGTATTTTAATCTAAATAATCTTCAAAGATTTTCAAGGCAAGTTACCTTATAGTCTATAGATTTTATGAAATCATTTAACATTTGATTTAGAGTCGGAGTTATTCTCTTGCTGTAAGGCCAAAGCTACGGTACATGTTTGATTTATTACAAAATGTAAGGCAATAGTGTTAAAAATTTGTTATTAACTAAAACTTTTTAAGGACAAATTTAGTTACCATCAGGAGCGGTGTAGGAATAGCTTCCCTGAGCTGTCTGTGCCTCTAGATCTTTTTGACCAGGATTCTTCAGAAAGCCACTTTCTTGTGCGGAAATGCCGTTTCCAGTCTCGTAGCTAAAAATACATATTACAACGTTATAAGAAGCAAATCCATCGTAATGAAGACACGTGAGTTTATCTGAATGTTTTAAATTAGCAAAACATATTTCACATTTTCTTGTAAAGTAGATATTCTATTTATTTCTTGAGGTAAAAAGCTTAGTTAAATTGAGCCATCGATTGAGTTTTCTCATGTAAAATACAACTTCCTCTGTTTATATCCGGTAAGTTTAAAGTATAACTGCAAAGGCAACTTAACGTAAAGCTTAACAACTGTCTCTTCTCAATATCATCAAATTAGGAACTAAATCTCTTAAATGATAACTTCAGAAGGGACACACTCTATAAGAATCTCTGATAACTACTTTATGTTTCTTTGAGTACAAAATTAGCTGCAGGTGATCCATAGAAAATGGATGTCTACTTCCAGTGAAAGGTGATCCTACCATCATCTTCATATTTCATCTTGTAACATCATCATATTTTTAAAACGTAATTAAATACAAACTATATTTTCCTTTATGTTAATGGATAAGAGTTTCTTAATAATATTTCAATTCATATGAAAACACACAAAATATCTAAACTATTTCGTACTTCAAATGCATAAGCCATTATGCTAGTTCACAGTGGGTGTACAGGCTGACATGAATCGATATTCTATTGACCTATTTGACCTTCAACCTCCCTAAGGTTCTACAGGTATTGATGACCTGCCTCTCAAGATGATCCCATTGCATAACCCTACTTGGCGCAGTCTTTGAGAGTATGCAGGCAAATTTGCATTTGGGTTAAAGGCCAGGAGGTTATGAGAATCTGTCATGTGCGAGATTTAGGAATAGTTAATGTCCATCTTAAACGGTAGTTTACCGTAACAGGATAATTTGTGGGTAAAATTCTTCCCCTATAAAAAAGTAATTTCTGGCCATATATGGCCATATCAAAATTCCATATATGTTTTTATAAAGCTATATATGGTTTTGTATGGCCATATATGGAAGCAGATATGGCCAGATGTGGTTGTATCCATATATGGTGGTGTCCATATATGGTCATATATGTAGTCTATATATGGAATTATTGGCCATATATGGCCATACATGTTTTCTATATATGGAATGATTGTCCATATATGGCCATACATGTTTTCTATATATGAAATTATTGCCCATATATGGCCATAAATATCCTCCATATATGGAATCATGGTCTATATATGGCCATATATGACTCCCAGGTATGGAATTAAATTACTCATATACGGAATAATAATTTTCCATCCATGCTCATGTATAAATGAGTTTTTGACAATAACTGAAATTATTATAAGGAATTGTTGCCACATTTGGATTTTGTAACTGGACTCCCAAACACTTCTTATAATATATATAATATTATAAATCTTAAAGTTTGTGAGTTTGTGTATTTTCTTGTTGCTCTCGCAAGCACAAACTACCTACTGAACTGATTGAGTTGAAATGTGGTACAGTAGGGGGGCATAATATAGGCATTATCTTGTTTTGTGTGTGATAATATAGGCATTTCTCATTTAAAGTAATTAGTAGTAAAGTAATAAAGTATCCAGATTTGAACCCAGATGACAAAATCCTGTACATACATCTATTGTACAATTTTATTATAACGAAACAAAATCTTAAAACTGACGAATAATTTTAAAATTGTAAGTGTAGTAGGCCTAAATAAAGAGAATATTATATTAATAATTAATTAATTGTACCTTTACTATCAAACAGCCGCAAATATCTATGTCACGTAGTTAGGCTATATTAATAATAACATTCTTCAAATGACATAAAATGTCTAAGAAAATCTTGTTTTACGAGACCAAATACAGCTTCTCTTATTCGTAATGGGTTTTGTTAAGACAACTGATATGAAGCAGTTGTAGAGTAGTGGTCAAAGGGGTGAACTCCCACGCTAGAGTCCCGGGTTCGAATCCCAGTCGGCTACTTAAAAAATTTTGTTTTGAAATTTTCGAATTAAAAATTTTTATTATGGTTTTAATGCATAGTTTATACCATTTAATGTGAAAATATGTTTAATTGTAATTTTTTTATTTATTTATATATTTTTAAAAAAAAATTTCCATATATGGGGGATTCCATATATGATCATATCTGGCTATATTCGGTCCAAAACCAAATATAACCAGATAAAAAAAAATTTATATGGCCATATATAAACTTTTTCATAAGGGTTTACATTTATCTTTCCGTTTATCTTGTTATGCCGTTGCACAGTTTTTAAAAGAGAAGTATGGAAAGTGTATGTCAATTGTAATTTAAGAGTTCAACATATAATCAACATACTCTTTTCTAAAACTTTATGTTTCACCAATAAACTTTCAACATTCAAAAAAATATAAAAAGTCTGATAAAATGTATTTGAAGTTGTTTATACAATCGATACAAAGTGGCTATGAAGTAGTTCTAAATGTTATAAAGGGATAATAACTACAAAATATATAAATAAAAATATACAGTAAATTTTTTTTATTATATTTTAACATAATTTTTTTGTGACAAACCACTCCAACTCCAATCTCCTAAAAAAAGGTAAATAGCAATCCCAAATATTTACGTTACTGTAATCGTTTTTGATATATTTTGATGTGTGCTCATATTAAACTTTTTTAACCTTAGCGTACTACAGCCAAAGTTTCAAGTTAAGCTACAATTTGGAAAACTCAACCGCCGTATTCCTACAAATATGTGATAGCAAGGTATATGTTAGAGAGTCCAAAAACATTCCTTAGGATAAAATGTTTGACGGGTGTTTTTTAGTGTTTTAATCCTAATGGTTTTGCTACAAAACCATTACAAAACTCTAACCCTCGCATGCATCATAATGGACACATGTTACTATTTTTATTTGTTCATGACAAAATAACAAAGTTGTATACACATTTTTTGTGATATTTAAGTACATATATTTTATTTTCTCTCCATACGGAGGGTAGAAATTTTAAATTTTATTTGAAGTTTAACCAATTGTTTATCTTTTTTATATTTATGAGTAGTCCTATGTTAATCAAATCAAACTTGCAACTAAATTACCTTCTCTTATCTTCACTCTAAATGCACACCCTGTTGGGTCCGTATAGAATAATTCTAATTTAATCTAATCAATTTTTACCTTATATGGCACCGCCCCCCCCCCCCCCTAATGATGTAAATTGAAACAATTTCTATTTCTGTTTTTATCAGTCTACAAAAAATATTACAATATATCTAATCATCTTCATATCAAAGGCACACATCATTCTCATGACAAACTGACTTTATATTACCCCCTCACCTGTATCTGTAAGATCCATCAAAGTTGTTGTCGTTGACGTAGTTGAGGATGGGGACGATTTGGCCGGGGGCGAAGGCCTGAGGAGCTCCTAACCTTCTCTGGGCCACGGCACACCCCAACAAACACAGACCTGCAAGCTGGAAGAAAAATAAGTCATATAAAGTCAAACTAAATAAGTAATCAATCAAAATAATGTAACATAAAACTCGCTAGGAGATTATTAATCGGATTTTTTTTAAGGTGTAAACAAGTGCAAGGGTAATCTTTGTGGCCTTAACTTATCCTGTGGGATGGGTAAAGCCAAAAAAGTAACTTCAACCAAACTCAAAATAAGTTGTTTAGCTAGATTTTACGGGATATGTTTTAGGGCATAGTATAATAGTTTCCATCAAGGTACACGACAGTTCTTTTTACAGGTTGCAGTCTTGAAATTCTACATAGGACGTACAGGATTGTAAATAGTAACTTGTTTTTAAATTTTTCTCATAGAATACGATATTTTTCCTGAATTGTACAACTAAAATTTCATGTTCAACATTTTTATGTGTTTACCTTTGTTCAGTTCCTTTTAAAAAAGTGTGGTTTTGAGATACCTATCGTTACTATACTACAATAGTTTTCATACACAAGAATTACTAACAGTAATATATCTGTAGACCGTGTAGGCTTACATATATGCTGGCAGATCATAACATATTATTACCACTGTTACAATGTCTGCACTCTGTGATTCTCTCACATATCTACTCCGTGGTTATTGTAACCAGCTGTAAACACCGTGTTACAGCCCTGTTCACAGTAGTACCTCAATTAGCTTGCAACAGTGGCACCATTGTACTCTTGTGAACCGGACTTGATGTATTACTTCTGTCATTACAAAATAGTCTGCTTAAAGGTCACGACGGTTAATTTCAGTACCAACTGTTTCACAACCCAAAATGTGGTGTTTTTTGGAATATGTTGCTCTAACGTGGATCTTTATTTAAAATAATTCGGGTGAAGAATTTCGTTAAGTATTACTAGGCCTGGTTTCATAAAACATACCACTTATTATTTTTATTCAAAACAATTTTGCCGTAGCAAGATATGCATATACTCAAAATATTATTTATTTTTGAAACTTTATTTTGCCACAATTCAGTTAAGTAACATTTTAAGGCTGCATATTAAGAAGAAAAAAAATTATTAGCTTTGCTTTATAAATTCTTTTTTGAAGACAGTAACATTCTAGTTTGGGAAACTGGGATGTCGCCAATGATTGACATGGCAATAAGCCATAAATTTATTTTTGTTATCAAAAAAGCCTAACGAGTATGAATTTATATGAATGTAAATACTGTACCTCTCTAAATGTTAATAAAAATGTATAGATATTGCCTTTTTGTCGTACTCATTAATTTCGTGTTCAACGAGGTTTATAAGGTTAAAAAAGGTTCAATGTACAAATTGCATAGTTATCTTTTAACTATGGAAACTATTAAATTTTTTACAGATCCAAAATGAATTTTTCGTGGCTTAAAACAGGACCCAGCTGTTAATTTTCTTGTTTATATAACTGACCCCGGCTATAACCAGCTCATCTTAACCAATTTTAAAAGCTGTAATCTTATTCATTTAACACTAGATGTTCAATGGACTTTTTTGTTTTATTACAGTTATATAAGGGTACAAGTTATATTCTATATCCTATAGCACCATAATGTACAAGGATAGTCTATTACTTTTAAAGTTGTTGAAGCTTTTTGCAAATGTGTTACTTTTTCATAAATTTTGCAGGTTTAGTTTTATACACATGTGTTTTATTGATTCCCTTATTTTTCTTTGTGGCTAACCCTTATTCGGTCATGTATTAAATAAATGATAAAATAAATCATATTTTATATTGTATTTATTATGAATAAAGTTTAATGTAAAAATAAAATATAATAATCATTTTTAAAAGTTAAAATAGCGTTTTATTACGAAAATTATCACATTTTTGTTTACAGATTCAGTATGAAACTTATCGATCTTGAAGCTCGAGCTTTAAAAAGGACTCAGCTTTCAATTGTCATTTTAAAACTGGCCCTATCTATAACCAGCTTATCTTAGCCATTTTTAAAAGCTATAATCTCATTCATTCAACACTAGATGTTTTATGGACAATAGATTATTTTATTTGACTAGACCGATTTTCTACGAAAATTACGCACCCTAGTTTTGTTGCCACTAGAATAATATACTAATCTAATGTAATATATTTTTAGGCGTAAACCTAAATTAATACAAATCTTAAACTATTATTTCACCCCACTGTGTATAAAATAAACATGTTGTATATCTTAAAGTCCCAATGCTACCTATGCTGCTCAAACTATTCAAATTGACGTAACGCATGTAACCCTGCTATACTTCAACATACATCCTGGGGTCCTGGGTTCAAATCCCGCCAAATCACCAATGGATTTTATCTAAGTGATAATGCCGTAACCCCTAAGCCTAGCCTGAAGTAATGTGAAAAATATTTCCGGGCTCGTGCCTAGCGTCCTAGGACAAAAAAATACTCCAACATACCCCCCAACATCCTGCAACACATTCACTCCATCTCCTGTAATCCAACAATGGTGACGTAGTCTACTCACCAGTTTATACATTGTGACTTATCCTCGTCAGGCACTAGACACTACTGATAACCCAGGACACCCCGACCTCTATTTATATCAGACATAATGTTTCCAAAGTCGAGTAAGTTGAATATTCCACCCACCGCTCCCCCCCCCCCCCCCCGAGCTGACCTTTCTTTCATTCTTTCTCCCTCCAGGCACCTTTCTCCCTCTCAGAATCCGTTGTCTGTCAAATCTGCATTTCAATCCTAAAAAGTTAGGTACCGTAAGTTCTGTGTGATTTTTTATGTATAATTTTGATAAGATTATTTTGATTTATCATTGAATGCCTTTCGTTTTTTTCATACTGTTAAATTAGTTAAGGAAGTATTGTATTCAATTAAACTTAGATAAAAATAATGGTTATTTTTGGAAATTTAGATATTTAACTAAATACAATTTTTTTAGGTTACAGTAATAGAGTTTTTAATTTTCACGTGAAACAAAAACAGTTTAATTTTTTTCCTTCAAATGTGGAAGCCCAAAATTGCTAACAGTACTAATATACAATGTTTTTATATTTTATGTTAGGTAATAATTAGTTATCATACATTCCTGTATGTAAAGTGTGAAAGGATGCTAATTACATAATTACGTAAAAAGCTAAAGAAGCAGCTTGACATATGAAGGATTTTCTTTTTTGAAATGAGGCTTAATCTCCTGAAAAGGTCAACTTTTATCATAATGTGTCTAGACTAAACTATTTTTTTTTATATTCAATTTAAATAATATAATTTGGATGAATGTTTATGTTAACACGTGAAAACTATTGACACAGTTTTCTACGCAAGGTCCAAGCCATCCAAATAGCCATACAACTATTTGTCAAGAGGTCCAATTACTTTACTGCAGTTATCTGGAAATTTTCGAATTTGTATTGCGTGTTGCATGCTTAGTTCGTGTTTATGAAAATGTTAAGTTAGCTACTTATTATTAACACCCTGATAATATTGGATTTCAATATGTTTTAATATAGTATTATTTTCAGTTGAGGACTCAAAAAAATATCACTTTACTTTTTAAGTAGGATGATTTGGGGAATCCTAAATTTTACAATACTGATAATAGTTCTAATTGTAACAATGTGTTTTGTGTTTTTTTACGCCAGTGGCATTTTTACGTTTTGAAGGGAACGGTCCAAACTTGTTAAACATAACGTCAACATTTTTGTTAGAGAGCATCATTAATTTATAGCCCAATGACGAATGGCATCTGGGTCTGGAAACGTCTCGCATGGATTCGAACCAGCGATCTTCAGATTTGAAGGCGAGCACTATAACCACTCGGCTACCCATACAATCAATGTGTTTTGGTGTGTTTGGTGTTGTAGTGCATTGTACTATGAACTTCAGTATACATTGTAAAAAAAAATTACTCGTTGACTACAAATTGTACATATTATATCTCTAACACTCTCAAAGATAAAGCTGCTAAGTTTTATTACATAAAAAATTACTGTAAATCCACCAAAACAAGAAAGGAGCTATTGTCGAAATACAGCCATTATGGGTCAAAATGAATTGCTTAACAATGAAAAAGAAGATACATATAATACGTCAAGGTCATCAGGTCCATCCTCTGTATCGGCGAGTCTATTTGTGTTTGCAATTGAGTTTCGGATTTCCATTGACTGTTATAATTGAAAATAAACGTCTCACTATTACAGTAGGATAATATTATGTATATTATTATATATATTGTGTATTTTTCAAGTTTGCATCAAATTAACAACAACAAATACCACTCAACAGACAAACCTATCAACACACTAAAACAAACCTTGTTACGCAGTAACCCCACTTTGTTTACAATGTTAACTACACTTCCTTGTTCATCATTCAGCATTGGCACTTAATAGGAGGAGAATTAGGTGTAAAAATAGGACAACCGATAAAGCAAATGCCAAAAAGTGCATCAATCAAAACACGAAACTGACATCGGGTGAAAGCACGCTTACATAAACTTCGTGGAGTTTGACCATTGATAACCGAGGTGGGAATGATTTGATTGTGTAAGGCTAGCAGCTAATGTCAGGGGATGGGCCGAGCTGTTAAAGAGGTTAACTGTGGTATTTGACTGGGAATTAGGGCAAAAGTGTCATTACAGATCATCTCTAATGTACCTGAGTGATTGAGAAAGACACTTGCTTAAAGTTCCTTGCTGTGGTGTAGTGTAACGTATTAGATGTTCCTTATCGTCTTAAGCTTGTTATGATTATATTAGTTGTTTGACAATAGATCTAAATATTTGTAAAATTGTTTGGAGTCTGCAAAAACATAATTTTACAATTAGTCACAACAATTAAGTTAAGTTAGTCTTACTGTTGAAGTAATTAAGTTTTAACTAGTATAGTAGTAGTATAAAATGTTCAAGTTGAATTTTTTTGTAAAAATATTAATTTCTTTTTCATAAGAAAATCGATTTATAAAAATGTATAAGTACACAGTTCACACATACACGTAATCGAGGTATAAGTTTGAGTAGGATTATTTAAGAAATAGTAACAAATAATACGTGAACGGTGAAGGATATAGAGCATATTAATCAATCAGTAAATCACCTGTTCGAGTTTGCCACTTCCACATGAAGTTCATTATTTCGCTTGAAATAAACTATCCTGGATAAAGAAAGTCAATAATAAAACTATACACACTGAAGATGGAATATATCCCTGTCTAGTTGTTATGTAATGATAATACATCCTGTACAGTATTTTAAAATCAATAAATCTTCTCAAGGCGATTAAACACTTATTTACAATCGTGTAAACAAATATTTCGAAAATACATTACGTCTTGAGGTGATTACAAAAAGTGTTAAGAGTTCCCTATTATTGAGACAACATAGTTTTAAAGACAGCAAACTATTCTGCATAGCTGCTATGTCAACTGTTATACAGTTAGTGATCTAAAGTATTATACGAAACTTAATCGTCAGCATGACTTTTTGTTATCACAGATAGAAGTGCTGTAGACAGTGCTGTGGTGCATCAGGAGATGAGGTAGTAAGGTCGTCCGGTCTTATCAGCACTGCAACATAGATTTGGTTTGTCATTGTTGTATCATTTGGACCTCTATACTCTTTGACGATTGTGTAATGAGTCCATTTGATGAATTTTCAAACTAGTAATTAAGATTTGACTCATGGTGAAGTACCATCACATGTGATGTACTTTACAAATATAAGGTAAAGTATTTGATTTGGAATTAGAAATAGAACACTTGTCTTCGAGTACTATGATTTTTAATTAAATAAGAATTATCAAAAAAATGTATTAGGTACCATTTTAAAAGCTGTTGACTGGCCAAATCGGAATTACATATTAGTTTCCATATAGTACGTGTTAATAAGTTACTAAATAGTAATGGTACGTATACGACTGCAAAGAGTACTCTTATCTAAATCAATAGTTGGGTCAACATTGACATAATTCGGTGAAAATGGATAGGATATGACAACAACATGTGAAATTAAATCTATCTATCTATCTATCTATCTATCTATCTATACTATTATAAAGAAGAGGTGGTGTCTGTGTGTGTGTTTGTATGAGCTAATCTCAAAAACTACTGGTCGGATCGGGCTGAAATTTGGCATGATGATAGCTCACATTCCCGATTAACATATAGGCATATTTTTATCCCAAAAATCCTTCGGGGCTCCGCCCCAGTGGCTCTGGAGTTTCCCATGTTAACCTTATGAGAAATGGAATTAATGAATCTTAACAGCTGTTTCAATTAAACAAGTTGGTTCTGTTCTATGATGTTCAATAGCATTAAAAGTTACAAGGATTACCAACAGGGTGCAGCACTAGCACTATTATTTCTTTTACATTTATGACAACAGCAAAAGGTGAGTGAGCGTAGCGAACGAACTTCAACCTGGAGGCGAGTGAGCGTAGCGAACGAGCTAACCTGAAGGCAAGTGAGCGTAGCGAACGAGCTAACCTGAAGGAAAGTGAGCGCAGCGAACGAGCTCCAACCTAAAGGTGAGTGAGCGTAGCGAACGAACTTCAAAAAGAACCGAAATTTCTTAAACCATGTCCTCACTCATAACTGCTATAAGCATTTGATACTTATATGCCAACCCCGTACGAAGGACGGGTACTCTGCTAGTTAATAATAAAATGCTGCTTATTATAACCTGAATTATGAGGATGATGTAGAATGAAAAGAGATATAAGTTTCACAGCCATGAAAATGTATTTAAAAGCTGTCCTTGGAGCTGGGCTCCTTTTAAAAACATTAAAATACTATAGATGTTTTATGATTGAACTATCGACTGACTTAATACTAATCTTATGATTCCATTTCTTGCCTATTTATTGTATTAGGAAACAAAATCCAAATACAAATAATTATTCTATATTAGTCTAGGATTTCAAAGAACAGTCTGCTTTATAGCCTAAAATAAAAGCCTACCATGGATACAACGTGTTGGATTTATATCATAGTTCAAAGTATCCTTCTTTCTAGAATCTATGTAGCTTACCTCTCCTTCCACGATAAGGGATATTACTGCTGAAACGACCTTCATTTACTTCGTATGTATAATCGCAAACATATCTGACCCACGGGGGAATTTAAATCACGAGATAAAAGATCCCAAAGTTGAATATTCGATCTGTTATCAGGCCCTGGTGGTCGTGACCCCCGTTAGCACCTCCTCCTTCCACTAGACAACACGGGCCCTCAGTGACTTCACACCAACAATAGGTAACACAAGATTCTGAACCTGTAACCTTGCCATCTGTGTTCCTCTCACCGTCACATTCCTACAGTACGCATCCCGGAGTGAGCAAGATTTAGATGTAGTTGCATTACCATATAGCTACCCAGTTCAGCATCCTAATAGATCAGTTCAATAAATGAGGCTGTAAAGAATCGACATCTCCTTAATTGAGTAGGTTTATAGTGAAACGAGGGTGTAAAATCTAAGTTAATCAGCTGGTCTGTTAATGGAGTAGACCAACTAACAGTATCGGATATACATTACAACATATATCCTATCGTGGAGGTGGACTGTTTATTTTTAATTTACAAACATTTTCAATGCGTGA